GTGGGAGAAATTGGGCTGGGAACCGGCCGCTGACAGCGACCTGGGGACCCTGCCAAGTCTCCCTTCCGCTTGCCCCCCTCGGCCTGCCCCTCACCGCCCTCTCCAAGGAAACCAGGGACTGGGGGTGGGGAGGGGCAAGGCTCTTAAAGGGACCAGGACACGCACTTGTGTGAGGACCTGGGGATGGGCCCAGGCCTGTGTCCTGAGCGTCCCCCAGGACAGCTGCGCCCGCAGCGGGTGAGGAGAGAGCCCGGACTGGAGAGCAGAACTCTGGGCCCAGTCCTCAGCCCGGCTGAGAAAGCTGCGCGAGTGAATGCTGGAAGGTGCCTGGAGGGGGCTCAGGCTTTGGAGAAGGCCCTCCAGACTGGGGAAGTGCCCCGCCCTCCACCAGCCTGTCCCTGCTCTCCCAGCTCAAGTTCCGGAGTGTAGGGGTGCCAAGCGCCCACTAGTTAGGGGAACCCCCAACCTGACTCAACAGCAGCCCGCTGCAGGACTTCTCAGAGCCTTTACAGATGGCTTGAGTGTGGACCCAGGAGCATGAGACATGGTGGGCATGAAACGCTGTCCGCCCTGGAGCCCACATGGGCCTGGTACTGGGTACAACACCTTCCGAGATGGGGGCGCAGCACCCAGGCCTGTCCTGTCCTGACGTCCCTATGCTCGGGCTCAGCCACACCATCTTCAAGTGCGGCCAGAGCAGGTGACTTCTGAGGGCCTGCCCGCTCTGACTTCTCTGCTCTATGTGACTCTCAGGTGTTTATTTTTAAAAAGGAAACTGCAAAACATTTGCAGCTTCTTAGAAAGACACAGGGAGCTGTCCTTTCAGAACCACAGACATGAAATCCGGTTGGTGCTTCTGGCCTTCGTCAATCCCGCCCCCACCAGGCCATCCTTCCGGACCCCCGTCCCCTCCCACCTAAACATTCAAGAATTCTGAAAAGACCCCCTTTCCCTCCCTAACAGCCCTGCCCCCAGGCCTTCACTGCCACTGGCCAGGCTGGCATAAGGGTGTGGGGGTGTGGGGGGGCGGCCTTGAGCCTCTCTGTGAGCAGTCGTCCCAAGTGTAGACGCTGAGCCTGTGTGTGCAAGAGTGCGTGTGCGACTGGGGGAGAGGCAGGTGGAGGGTCTGCACTGTGGGTGGAAGCCTGACTCAGACTTTCCGAGAAGAGTGTGTCACATGCCTGATGGGTGCGTGTGTCTGCAAGAGGAGGCGGCCCTCCACACACAGGACACGTGCAGTTACATGTTACATGTGAGCACGCACAAGTGACGCCGGGTGAGATGCTGCGTCAGGGCTCAGAGTGTGCCCAGGGCCAGGGCTCAGTCCGGCTTTGTGTCTAGGCTCCTGCAGTGACGAGGGCCAAGACTCAGTCATGGGTCAGAAGCTCACTGCTTCTCAGCTGAAGGTCGCTAGTGACTCTCAGTTCCCACTGACACTTTCCCCCCACCCACATACACACAATTCTGCAGACATGAGACCCTTTCTCATCCAAACACATACAAACACAGGCCCACGTCAGCACAGACCTGATCCCTGGGCACACCAGTGGAAGCAACCTGGGGCCCTGGCCCTGGTCCCCGTTTCGGGTCACCTGGGAAACCGTTGGCTCCTCTGAGCCCTTTTGGGCTCACCTGGCCACGGAGGAAGGTGCTTCCGGCACAAAGCCTGGGCGGGGAGAGCCAGCTGCCTGCCTCCTGCCCCAGGCCCCCACCCCGTCACTTCTGGGCCCGAGGCTGTCCAGCTCTGGGGCAAAAGCTTCGGTCCCTACCCTGAGCTGAAGCACCAACCTTCCAGAGCCTTGGCTTCTGAAGAAGTAACAGGCAGGGCTCCCAGGGACACCCCAGACTGAGCAGGGAGCTTGTGGGCACATGTCTTCTGGGGCACCTCCAACGTGGCCCAGCTGCTGGCACCTCCCCCCCGTCCACAGGGCCCTGGGCCCAGGCACAGAGGCCTTAATAGTCTCACCTGTCCAGGGGGGACCAGGAGAGGGCAAGGAAGGCCTGGGGCATGGGCAGGCCCCCACACCTGAGAAAGGAGGGGCCAATGGAGGCCACGGCCAGACATGAGCTTCCCACGGGCCTCGCCGCTGTCTGCATCCCCATCCCCGTTCTGCTCCCACACTCAAGCAGGCAGACTCCGGCCACAGGGACGCTCCCAGGGGGCGGGATCTGCCCCGACTGTGCCCCGGGGACAGTGAACCCAGCACTCACTGGGCTGGCCAGGCCTCTCACAACCTGCTGCTCCCGGAGAGCAAAGGGGATAGATGAGTCCACCTTTCTGGAAAGCAATTTACTACCAAGGCCTTGAAGTTTTCCAGGGATTTGATGCCAACGAAACAATCAGAAATGTGAGCAGAGCTATCCAAGGGCAGGGCCGCTGGGTGAACCAGGCACCCCAGGGGCTCCGGGCCACCTTTGAACAGCCCAGTGGGAGGGTTTCTGGATGGTGGGGAGGGGCTTGTGCTGATGTCAGGGGCCAGATGGAATGGACAGCAGCCACATGATGGCCACAGGGGCAAGCCTGGGAGCACGCAAGCCCTTGTTCTTGCCTTTTCTTTTTTTACCCTTTTCTGTCAGTGCATTTTGTGCAAAGTTTATGCCGCTTACGAAATTCAAAGAAAAACAGTCTCTGGCAACCAGAGCCAGCGGGCTGGTTTCCTGGGGCTACGGGATCCACCCCAGCGCTTCCCCGATGCTGTCCTCACACCCCGAGTGGGCAAGGGCGGTGGAGTCCGTGCATGGGCCTGCACTCTCTCACCACAGGGCCTTTACACTGTCTGTTCCTTCTGCCAAAATGCTTGTCCCCAGACACCCACGTGCAGTGCAGAGCAGGCCTCTCTCAAACACCACCCCAGAGAGGTTTCTGTGAACCTGCTCTCAGGCTCCTCACCCCACCGGCCACCAGATCTACTACTTCTACTTCTCGGCACGTGGCGTGACCAGACAGTTTCACAGGGATCTGGATGCTCCTACTTTCCTGTCCTTCCGCACAGAGGACAGGAGGAGGCTGAGCACCAGGACCTCATAGAGCATGCTCTGTCAGTGGTCAGGAACTACTGAAGAGGGATGGATGGGTGGGTGGATGGGTACATGGGTGGGTGGGCAGACGGATGGATGGGGTGGATGGAAGAGTGGATGGGAAGATGGATGGGAGGATGGGAGGATGGGTGGGTAGGAGGACGGGTGTGTGGGAGGATGGGTACATGTGTGGGTGGGCAGATGGGTGGATGGGGTGGATGGGAGGATGAATAGGAGGATGGGAGGATGGATGGATGGATGGGAGGATGGATAGGAGGACGGGTGTGTGGGAGGATGGGTACATAGGTGGGTGGGCAGATGGGTGGATGGGGTGGATGGGAGGATAGATAGGAGGATGGGAGGATAGGTGGGTGGGAGGATGGGTGGGTGGGTGGATGGAAGAGTGGATGGATGGGAGGATGGATGGATGGGAGGATGGATGGATGGGAGGATGGATAGGAGGACGGGTGTGTGGGAGGATGGGTACATGGGTGGGTGGGCGGATGGATGGATGGGGTGGATGGGAGGATGGATAGGAGGATGGGAGGATGGATGGATGGATGGGAGGATGGATAGGAGGACGGGTGTGTGGGAGGATGGGTACATGGGTGAGTGGGTGGATGGATGGATGGGGTGGATGGGAGGATGGATAGGAGGATGGGAGGATAGGTGGGTGGGAGGATGGGTGGGTGGGTGGATGGAAGAGTGGATGGGAGGATGGGAGGATGGAAGGATGGGAGGATGGGTGGGTGGAGGATGGATGGATGGATGGATGGATGGATGAATGGAGTGTGGATGGACAGATGGATGGGTGGAGGATGGATGGATGGGAGATTGGAAAAATGGGTGGGAGAATGGATGGACAAATGGATGGATGGATAGGACGGGTGGGTGGAGGATTTTGATGGATGCATGGTAATCACATCCCTCCCCAACAACTTCCACAGGTCCACAGCCTCTACAAACTGCCCCTTGCAGCCTCCCTCCCACTCTGCATCCCTGCCCCTCCGGCTGCCCACTCTCACTGGCCATGCCTCACATTCCTCCTGTACCTTCCAACACTCACACTTTTGCTCAAACTGCTTCTGCCCGAGACCCCCCTCCCTCCTCTGCCGGGAGGACGTGTGCCCCTCACGTGTCGGCCACTCTGGGAGTCTCCCCTGACCTCACAGGACACACCTTCATCCCCACGGCATGAGGGACGTACACCATGGCCCTGGGGCCAGCCTGGGGACTGGCAGTGCTAGGGCTGAGGGAGGCAGGCGGTGACAGTGACACGCCGCTCTCTGACCACCCCCTCCCCAGTGGATACCGAACCCCTGGGGGGAAGGCCGAGCCCCTGCCCAGCCCACCTGGGCCATCAGGTTCCAGCTGCCAAGCTCTCTCCTGCCCAGTCTCCCCAAACGCTGACCCTCCTTGCCTCTGAGGGCTGCCCCCACTTTAGGGCCTTTGCACAAACTCTTCCCTGTGACCACACAAGCTCCCATCTACCTTTCCCTCCGTCTCCCTGTGTCTGGGAGGAACCCTGCTCTGGGCGCCCATGCAGGTGCCATGACCCTGAATCACAGCCTGGCCAGTCCAGCCCAGTGCCCGGCCCCCACTCATAACGGGAGCGGCAGGGCCTGACACAGGCTGGTGCCACGTACCGGGCAGGGAGCTGGGCCCGAGACCCCAGGAGTCCCGGCCTCTGTGTCCCATCGGTCACCCTGGGTCTCACCCAGCTCTGTGCTCATGCCCCTCCCCCTGATCTGGCCTGGGGGACCCCGGCAGCGCTCTGGAACCGCAGCCATGGACCTCCCTAGGAGTGGTGGGAAACTGGCTGGGTGGGCTCCCCACGCCATCAGTGCTGGACCAGGCAGGGAGAGACCGTGCCTGACAGGGGGTGTGGGGGACGGTCAGCAGCTGGCCCCAAACCTAGAGCCCAGGCCCCTCCCTCCTGGCCACGGAGCCCGCCCCGGAGGCCACACGGCCAAGACACTTACGCGTCCGTCTCATCCCACAGGATGCAGGTCTGGTTGGTGGTGCCCTGGGAGAGACGGTGGAGTCAGGCCACCTGCCCGCCCTCAAGCCCCGCTCAAGGCAGTGTCCACGCAGGGTCCCATCGCCCCGCCTGGCGCCCTGCCTCTGCTGCCCCCCAGAGACGGTGTTTGCGGAGGAGAAACTGAGGCCCAGAGCGGGGAAGGGGCCGGCTCAGCCCCCAGCCCGCTGCGCGGCCTCGGGCAGCTTCTGTCCCCTCTCTGGGCGGGGCTGGGCAGCAGCGACCACTTCTGCTTAATAGGAAATGGCCACCGGGAGGGTCAGGGGCACAGACAGGGCTCGGCAAGCACCTCTGCCCCACAGGCTGCGGGGTGATGACAGGGGGCTCCCACCTGATGAGGGAGGGGCCAGGCGGGAGAGGCTGGGCACGGCCCAGCACTGGCCGACACTGCCCGTCCTGGCTGGGGAGCGGGGCGGGTGTGGGCAGACTCTTGGTGGCCGAGGGCATCTCAGGCCTAACGAAGAGGCAGGGGAGGAGGGCATGGTGGGCCTGTGGGGCAGGGGGACATGGCAGAGATAGCTCCGTCCTCTCCAGAGCGGCCGGGCTGGCAGGGCCTGGGAGCAGCGGCCTTGGACCCAGGTTAGGCTGCATTCGGCTCCTTCAGTCCTTGCCTGTAACCCCGGGCAAGTCCCCGAAGCTCTGACAGCCACCGTCCCCGCCCGCTACTTGGGGGTAAAGGAGCTATCTCTCAAGGCTGGCCAGAGGCCGGGATGTGTGCGCACAAGGGGATAGGTGGAGGGGTCCATGTGCGCTGATGTGCACACGGAGGGTACTCACGTTATACATGTGGGCGAACTCGATCTCCAAGGGTGTGAGCAGGGAGCGAGGCGGGGGCTTCACGGTCACCGAGATGACCTTGGAGTTCAGGACAGTCGTGTTCCTGGGGGACAGCCGGTGGGCCATGCTGGGGTCAGTAGTCCCTCGCCCCACCTCCCCTAGGCCTGGCCTCTCTGGCCCTCCACCCCCCAGACCCGGCCTCCTCAGGCCCGCACTGTCCGCCCCCAGACCTGGCCTCCTCGGCCCCCCAACTCCCAGCCCGGCCTCCCCAGGCCCTCCACCCCCAGACCCAGCCTCCCCAGGCCCCCACCCCCCAGAGCTGACCTTCCCAGGCCATCCACCCCCAGACCCAGCCTCCCCAGGCCCCCAGCTCCCAGACCCGGCCTCCCCGGCCCCCACCGGTGCCCTGATGCCCACCTCTGCAGGGCCAGGAAGCTGCCCAGGTTGCGGTAAAGCACGGTGCCCACCACGAACACAGACGAGTCATCAGCCTCTGGAAGACAGCACCATGGTCGCCCTCCTCCCACCACCCCCAGGCCAAGGCCCTGCTGGCCAAGAGGAGTGTGTGTACCCCCCGTCACCCCACCATGGACACAGCGCTGCCCTGGAGCTGGGGTACTTCCTCGGTCCCCGTGAGTAACCCCTGAAAGCCAGGGGCAGGCAGGGCACCTTTTCTCTTCCTGGGAACTGGAGTCGCCTGCTGTGTGACACCAGGCAAGACCCTCTCCCTCCCTGTGATGAGGGGGTCCATTCAGTCAAAGTTTCCTGGGGCCTCCCAACATAGTGAGGGCAAAGAGGGCTTCCTGGAAGAGGGGGCAATCTCAGGAACACTGAGATTGTGTAGAAGAAACGGACACCGCCCTAGCCCTTGACACAGCATGTCAGAACTTCTGGAGTGCTTCTGGAGTGGGGCTGGGGAGTTCCTTGGGGGGCCTGAGAAGTTCTAGACCCTGGGGAGCCCCTTCAGCCCCCTGAGGCCCTCACCTGCCAGCCCTGTGGAGAAGACGCTCTTGGACACAGTGACCCTGTCCTCTGGCACCTTGGCCCAGTCGCCTGTGGCCCGCCAGCCCTTCATGGGGAAGCTGATGTCGGTGGCTCCGCTGGCTGGGAGCTTGTGGATGCTGAGGACTGTGCGGGGTGGGGGGCGGGGGGAGGGGAGAGACGACAGCGACAGACAAAGGGAGACAGAGACAGAGCGGTTTCAGGGTGAGGAGCTTTGGCCCTGGGACGGGAAGTTGGGCGGGACCATCACGGGGCTGCTCCTGGCTCAGAACGGGCGCAGTGCTCGTGGGGCCACCCAGCCACACCACGCGAGGGGTGTGCAGGGGGTACACGGGGTGCACAGGGCATAGGGCGTTTGGGTGCACAGGGCACAGGGCTGTGAGTATATGACGGGTGAATGGGGGGTGGGGTGTGCAGTGGGTGCATGTAGTGTGTATGTGTAGGGTGCACAGGTGCTAGTGTATGAGTGGGGTGTACAGGAGAATGGGGGTGTGCGGGTACAGGGGGTGGGAGAGCTAATGAGGGGTGACGGGAGGAGTCCAGGGCCTCCTTTGGTGACAAAGGGTGGGCCCTGAATGTCCACTGGCTCTGGACAGGCTCCCTGGAGGTGGAAGGTCAGGAGTCTTGGCCCTGGCCTAAGCCCCGCTCCAGGGGCCGTGGGTGGTGCTGGGTGGCCAGGGGTCCAGCCTCCACAGCAAGGTCCGGGGGCAGGCAGCTGAGAGCTGAGGTGGCCTCCGGGCCACACCCGTCACATGTGGCCACAGAAGAGCCCGCTTTCCGGCCACTCCCATCTCACCCGGAACAAGGGCCCCATCAGCCCAGTGAGAAAGGGACCCAGCAGCCTGGAGCCACTGCTGACCCTGCCTCCAGGGGACCTCCAGGCCGGGCTCTCCCCACCTACAGGAGGACCCTGCTCCCACTCCCCTGGCCTCAGGGGTCTCCCCAGCTCTTTGGGTCCTGAGCTCGAAGGCGAAAGGCAGGACCAGGGCTCTAGAAACTTCTAGCTTAGCAGGAGTTCATCCCTGCCCGGGCAGGTCCCCGGGTGCGTGCGAACGAGCACAGTGGGCCCAGAGGACATGTCCCCAGAAGCCCAGGAGTCTCTACAGAGGCGGTGACCATCGCCCTCCTCGGCGCTGTGTGGACCACCGCCGGGCCCGGGCCCCACCCAGCTCCCCACTGTGAGAAGGTTATCTGGGGAGGTGCCCTGGAGAGCTGTTTAAGGGGATGTGGTGGTAATCGTTGAATGCAACTGCTGCAGGTCCTTGTGCCAGCAGCCACCGGCAACCCCCCAAGTCCAGGCCCGTCTATGGCTCCCTCCAGCCCCTTGAGGCCTGCACTGCCGCCTCCCCATTTGAGATTCTGTCAGTGCTACTGAGCTGGTTGTCGCCAAGCCCCTCTGACAAGCGCTTCTGGGAGCAGAGGGCAACCTTGCCTTCAAATCTCCGCAGTCCCAGCACAGCGGGTCCTGGGGACAAGGCACTGTGGGCCCCCGGCCCCAGGGAGGTAGAAGCTGTGGCTGGGGCTTCCTGTTGCACCCCATGACTCTAAATGTCCAGGGCCTGGTCTGGGTCCGAGAACCCCCACGCTGACCCCCTCCCAGCATCACATCCAACCACTGTCAGGAGACTCAGGTCTGTGCACCGGAGGACTCATAGATCATCCTAGAACCTGGCCAGGGGGTCCCGCCGGAAACTGAGGCTCGAGGGCCCCGTCCAGGTGTGCAAGGTGAGGCCTGGGAGAGCGAGGGCCGGGCTTACCCAGGTTGTCTGTCACCTGGTACGCATCCCGCAAGTCTTTCATGCGGAAGCCGATGACGTCCACGAAGTCCTCCACTAGCCGGAAGAGCTCCTTGGCATTGGGGCCCATCTGGGGACGGAATGGGGGTGGGGTCAGGGAGCCTCAAGATTGTGGGGGGCAGCCCAGCCAAGAATGCGCCAGCACTGAGTGCCACCCGAGTCCCCAGCCCCCCAGCAGGGACACAGCCTCTTGCTCCTCTGCCTCTTCCGGCCTCCTTCCCTCATCTGTTCCGTCCAGGATGAGGTCCTGCCGGTCACTCAGTACCCCGCAGGGCTCTGGACCTGACTTGGGAAGCGGAGTGGGACCTGAGTGTCCACCACCAATTTGTGGATAAGAACACTGAGCCCAGAGGGGCTGTGGCACTCCGGCCCACGGCCGGGTGTCCAGGTGGGAGGACAGCAGGGGGCTCTGGGTGCCTCAGCCCCTGGGCACAGGCGTAGCGGTAGGTTCCCGGTCAGTGTGGGGGGGAGGCGGGCCGTTCTCTCCAGGTGAGAAAGGACTGCCACATCCCGGCCTGCACCCTATGGCCAACACGCTTTCTCAGACCCCTCCCTGAGCCCCAAGCTGTGAGCCCGTCATCTGACGGATGGGGATGCCGAGGCTCAGAAGGCTAAGTGACTTCCTGGAAGAGGACAAGCTGAGATTTGAACCCAAGACCCCACCCTGAGCCGGCCTGGGGGATGGGGAGTCACAGAGATGCCCACAGCCACCCCCAGGTGGGCAGGCGTACCAGCTGCGCCTCCTCCCACTTGTCCCGGTTCTCCTCGGCCAGCAAGTTGCTGATGATCTGGACAAAGTTCTGGAAGGAAGAGGAAGAAGGGCCAGTGGAAAGGCATGTGTACTCAGTCTCTGTGACCCCAGGGACTGCAGCCCACCAGGCTCCTCTGTCCACGGGACTTCCCAGGCAAGAATACTGGAGCGAGCTGCCATTTCCTTCTCCAGAACAGAGAATAAGGTAGCAGAATCATGGCTCAGTGTGACCAGGGGTCAGAGTGTGACCGAGGTCAGGGCTCAGTGCGGGACCCGGCTCAGGGTTCCGTCTGAAGTCGGGACTCGGTCTAAGGCTGGGGTGGAGAATGCCCTCCTGGGCGCCCACCTGCACATCCCCAGGGGTCGGGCTGTAGTACGCCCGGCGGAAGATCTCTGTCATGTTCCTCAGGACGTCGATGGTGGACAGCAGGTCCCCGCTGTAGCTGGTCCCGTCCTGGGAGATCTCCACCAGGGTCTGGATGACCTCGGAGACCCCCTCCCCGGGCAGCCCACGCTGCGCCTTTGCCAGGTGCTCCCGGGTCTAGGCAGACAGGGTGCGGGTGCTGTGACTCTGCAGGTACCAAGGGTCTCCCACGCCCAGAGGGTACTCTGCAACCCCAGCCACGCTGACCCGTGTCCAGGCAGTGTACCACTGGGGATGCAGGGTTATGTCTGAGAATGCAGGGTAGAGGCGAGCCCTGCAGTGATGGGCGGGGTGGGGTGGGAGACCCCGGGGCCCAGCCTCACCATCATCTGGATGTTCCGGTAGTCAATGGACACACAGCGGATGTAGGTGGGGGGCTCCCAGTAGGCGATGCCCTCTTCATCCAGCTCACAGCGTCTCAGGATGAGGCCTGTGGAGATGGGGGGTCGGCTCCATCTCCCACTTCTCAGGAGGATGCCCACGTCTGCTGCAAGAGTCCCACCCACCCAGCCACAGCTCCCAAGTGCCTCCAGCTCTCTGGATGGGACCCCCCAGCCCTGGGAGACACTCGCCCATGGCCGCATTCCAGGAGCAGAGCTGGCAGGCCTCCGTCGACATTTTTTCACTCAAAACATTTCTGAGCAGACTCTGCCAGCCAAGCACTGGAGCCTGGTAGGAGCCAAACCTGCAGGCATCCTACCTGTGTGGAGGTTGAACCCTGGGCCAAGTGACGGGCTTCCCCCGGAGCCCCTTCCTACCCAGAGCCCTGGGGAGAACCAACAGCCCACCCCTGCCCGGCTTCACCTCTGGGGTCAGGGGGCCCCTGATGACCCTGGTGTGCTGCAGATGCTGGGCAGCCTTGGGGCTGACTGGAGTCAGGTGTGGACGGCCTTGAACACAGGCACAGACTATGACCCAGACCTTACTCCCAGGGAGCCAGGCTGTGATGACCCTAGGGAACTGCCAGGACACTGCCACCCAACATGAGCCACGGGGCAGGACGGGACACCTGGTCCACAGCATGGTGCAGAATCAAAATGAGGGGTCACACAAGCAGACAAACGCTAGAGAAGTGACACCATCCTGCGACTTGTGTTTTCACTTTACTTCCCTAGATTTGCAAGACGCTACCCAGAACCTGTATTATTCTGTAAACAAAACAGGGCACGGGGGCTGCAGCCACGGCTGGGAATACACAGCCTCCACCACGGTCACCAGCCTTATTGGGGGGCGGGGAACCCAGAGCAACTTCATTTTACAGAAAGAAATGGAAGTTCAGAGAGGGTAGGTACTTCCTGAATGTCACACAGCACACGGGGGCACGAAACAACACATGCTCCTCAGACAAGAGGGCAAAGGAAACCAAACCTTCACTGCAGAGCCCCTTCTGGGAGCCCACCCTGCTCTTCCCACACCTCATATTGCTCCATGGGGTGCGTGGCGATCAAGACCACTGTGTCCAAAGCCGACTTCCCCGTGACTGGCTGTGCAGGCCCAGGGCAAGGCTGTGGCCTCTGTGCCTCTGGTTTCCCACGTGTAAACATCGCACCGAAGGGCTTCATGCTGGCACTGGCTCCGGTGACTTAGGACACGGCGGCCCCGGGTCCCCGTCTGCACCCCTCCGGCCTCGGTGTGCACGGGGCTGCCTGGGCAGGGTCTGGGCCACGTGCCCTGTGCTGACAGCTCTCGGGCGGGCCTTCAGGGGCATCTCAGTGCCTCCCACACATCCCGCAAGGAAGGGACAGGTGCCCCTCCCAGCCCCTGCCCCCTTGGCCCTCACCTGTGGCATTGCGGGGACACCGGACCGCAGCCACCTCTCCGGCTGGGGTCTCTTTCCAGACCACAGCTCCAAAGTTGTCCTCATCACAGATCTCATGGGGCTCTGCCAAGGGCCAGAGACATGAGTGGGGGAGGGGAACGCAGGGAGGGTCAGAGAGCTGGCAGCAGGGTCAGGAGGACCCAGAGGCCACAGGACATCCACCCTCACAAGGCGGTCGTCCCCCAGCTGCGCTCCGAGGGCCTCCCCCACCGCTCGGGTTGCACCTCCTCAGGGTCCAGCTGTGGGGCAGAGTGGGGACACTCACCGGGACACCGCTGGGCGCCACACTGCCGGTATTCATCCTGGGGGCCCTGGCAGGCCGCTCCCCCGAAGAAGGGCCCCAAGCAGGCGCGCTCCCGCCGCTGCGTGCCACCCCCGCATGTGACGCTGCAGCCGCCCCATGATGCCCAGGCCTGCCACTTCCCATCCACTGCAGGACACAGCCACGCATGGAGGCACGAGGATGGGGACGAGGGGCGTGAAGGAGCCACAGGGACGCAGGGGCGGGGAGCCAGGAGCAGAAGGAAGTTGACACCAGGGAGGGGAAGGCAGAGCTCAGCTTGATACAGGATAAGAAAAGTGCCTCATGTGCACTGGCCCCCAGGATCCCTCCACCGCCACCACATCCCTGGGGCCTCGTTCCAGGGCCCTCCAGCAGCCCCCAGCCCGCCAAGTGACTCAGGACCGCAGGTCCCCACCTACAGGCCCCGGGGCATGGCCTGACCTGGACACTGCTGCAGGAAGCAGTCTCGCGTCTCTACCCAGTGGCCCTGGCACTCGGCACCCCCGTACGAAGGCCCGTTGCACTCGCGTGTGCGCTGCTGCCGGCCCTGGGAGCAGCTGGCGGAGCACGCGCTCCAGCTGGACCACTCGTTCCAGTTTCCATCCACTGCCCGGCCCAGGGGAAGAAGGGGACAGGAAGCCAGCGTGAACAGCCAGGGTCCACACCCCACCTGGGGCACAGGTGTGAGCACCCCACAAAGTCTGAGGCCTGGGTGACACCCAAGGAGGTCCCAGCACCCCAACACCCCTGGCGCACCAGTGAGAACGTTCCAGGTTCTCTGGCCTACAGCCTGATCACAGCCTGGGGTTCGAATCTCACCTCTGAGGCCCCAGCAGGTGGGTCTGAGTGGGCACAGTTGGGCTGCGGGGGCTGGCCGGTGGCCCACAGGGTCCTTCCCTCCCCTGCCCTGTCTCACCCCACCCAGCGCCCTCCCTCTCACCTACCAGGGCACAGAGCGATGTTGCAGAACTTGGTTTGCTTTTCCGGGCCCTCGCAGGGGTTGCCTCCAAACTGGGGCGGTCTGCAGGTGCGCGTGCGGTCCCGGAAGCCGCGACCGCAGGTGCTGGAGCACAGGCTCCAAGGCGACCACTCGTCCCAGGCGCCATGCACTAAGGAGGGAACAGAGCGCTCTGCGGCCCCCGTCCGGCCCAGCCGGCAGCCGAGTCACCTGCCCTGGACGCCGCGCCCCAGGCCCTGACGTCCCGCCCCGACACCACGCCCCTCCCCGGACGCCCCGCCCCCTCCCCGGCGCCCCGCCCACCTGGACACACGGCCGAGTTGTTGCAGAGCCGCTGCTCCCGCAGGGGCCCGCTGCACTGCGTGCTGTAGGAGGACGACACGCAGAAGCGCGTGCGGGTCTGCCAGCCCTCGCCGCAGGTGCTGGAGCACACGCTCCACGGGGACCACTCCTCGGCCGCGGGGTCACCTGTGGGCCCAGACCTACAGCATCACAGGCCTGCTGCTGCGCCCGTACCTGCGTTGCGGTCAGACCCCCAGGTGGCCGCAGCAAGGCCCGTGAGCTCCCCCTCCTTTATTTTTTCTCGACAGGCCCCTTCACCTCACACCATTTCTCCTAAATCCAGTGTGCCTGGAGACCAGCGCCTGGCACCTGAGAGGTTAGTCTAATTATGGGAAATTATTACAGTCATTACTTGGAATCAGCAGCAATTAATAACGTACAGTATTTGTCCAAAGACCTAATACCCTGGAACCAACTTTCCCCACTTCCCAGCTTTAGTGCGTTTGCTGTTAGCCCCACCCAGACGCTGCCACTCACCTGTCTGTGGGGCCGGGAACCCAAAGTGCTGCAGGTCGTCCCCTAGCTCCTCACGCCGCCGGGCATCTGTGGACCGCAGGGACTGGCTCCTGGAGTTGGTGCGCCCAGCGGCTGCAGGGCGGGTCCAGGTAAGCACCCAGGCCCTGGCCTGAGGCTCCCGCCCTGCAGCTCTAGAGGGGCGCTCTTGACTCTTTGCCCCTCAGTCCTCAGTCACAGTCGGGCCCAGGCTTGCCAGCACCAGGGCCACTTGGTCCCACTGGGCAGCTGAGAAACCTGGGACCAGGGCACCCTGGTCTGGTGCCAAGCCCTGTCTGGTCCAGACTCCCCTGTCCTGCGCCCCTCCCTCTCTTCCCCCGGGGCCCGCAGTGTCATCCGCAGGGCACCAGGTATAGATGGCTGCTGCTGTCCCCTCCTTAGCATCCCGCCTGCAGTCCTGCGTCCCGCGGCCCAGCCCAGGCACCACGGGGCCCTCCCCAGGCTTCTGAGATGAGCTCCTCTCCTCAGGAAAACTCATCGGGGAAGAAACAACCCGAAGAATGACAGTCTCATTATAACTTGATTTAACTTTATGGAAGCAGCTAAAATATGCATGAGGTCATTAGAGAGCCTTATTAGAAAAATACATCCTGGAGGCAAAATGCAGCTGGGACAGGCAGCTCTGGTCAGGGCTGGGGATCGGGGTGGAGGGAGAAGCCTCACTGACAGCCTTCCGCGTGCACCCCAGAATTCCCATCCGCAGGTGCTAAGACAGCCACATCCAGTCTAACACCCGGTCCCGCCCCTCCTCCTAGGCCGTTGCTTCTGATGTCACCCGGCCTGGACCAGGAGTTGGCCCCTCCCTTGGCTAGGCCCCACCCCTGACCCCGCCCCGCCCTAGGTCCCGCCCCTCATAGCCCGAGCCCGGCCTAGCCTGGCCCCAGCACCTTCCCTGGTCCGGCCAGACCCAGCCCCCCGCCCTTTTCTCCACCTGGCCCTGCCCGGGCCCCTCCTTCTCCCCCGCCTCGACTCCGCCCGTCCCACCCGTCCGCTCACTCACAGCCGCAGGCCTTGCGGTTGCACAGGCGGCCCTCCTCCAGCACCCCTTCGCAGCCGCCGCCCTCGATACCCGGCGCGGGCAGGCAGGTGCGCGTCCGCGTCTGCAGGCCTCCGCCGCAGTCCCGCGTGCATTCGCCCCATAGGGACCATAACTTCCAGCCGCCTGGTGGGAACCAGAGGGCAGAGTCAGGGCCGGGGTCAAAAGGCTGCGATGTCTTTCAGGCAGTGTCTTAGGGGTCTCACAGGGGTCTGGGGGTAGAGCGGCCCCTGTGAAGAAGCCTGGGCTGCAGTAACCAGCGCAGCGCCCTGGAGGGTCAGCCAGGAGGCGAGAGTGGGCCTGGATGAGGTTAGCGATGGGGTGCAAAGCATAGGCGGCTGGCAGGGCAGGGAGGGGCAGAGGTGCGACCCGAGTTCCCTCTGGGGTCTCAGTGCTTTCTGGCTCTGTTTACAGGCTCCCAGGCCAGGGTCTCCACGGACTCTGAATTTAGGTCCCCAGTGTAGCGGCTGGACCCAGAGCTGGAGCCCCAGGCAGGTCTGAAGAATGAATGAATGAAAAGCACCCCGGCCACCCCAACAGCTGCCTTATTCCAAGGGCCCGGTGAGGGGGTGGGGGCAGAGGGGGCTTCTACTTTGCACAGAGCCTCAGCCCCTGCAGATCCCCTCCCCATGGTCCTCAGTCTAGACTTGTTCACCCTCCCCCCATGATCTGTGTTGTGTGTTCATTACCCCATCACCCCATACCTGGTGGCCTAGTGAGGTCTCACACTCTGGGCCCCGCCAGGCCTCCCCTCCCCTAGACACAGCAGAGACTGGCCTCCAGGCCCCTCTGGCCACCCTCCTTCAGCCCTCTCACGGATCTTCATCCCGGCCCTGTCCCCTCAAGCATCATGACCGCATGTCCCTGACGGTCTGAGCCCCGTGGTGGCCCCAGTGCCACCGAGGACAGCAAGAGCCTCCAAGTACTGGGGAGCCGCTGAGGGGTGAGGAGCAGGAGCCTCCAAGTACTGGGGAGCCGCTGAGGGGTGAGGAGCAGGAGCCTCCAAGTACTGGGGAGCCGCTGAGGGGTGAGGAGCAGGAGCCTCCAAGTACTGGGGAGCCGCTGAGGGGTGAGGAGCAGGAGCCTCCAAGTACTGGGGAGCCGCTGAGGGGTGAGGAGCAGGAGGCCAACACCTTGGGCGAGAGCTGGGCTGCACTGATGGCTTCAGGGAGGGGCTGCTTCACCCAGGCATTCAGTCCACAGGCCAGATAGCTCCCGCCCTGAGGGACTCTGGTGCCGCCACCCTATTTGTCCTCAGGAGCTCCAGGGCCCCTTGCTCCCAGCACAGCAGGGTCAGGGCAGACCCAGCAAGGGCACGTGCAGGTCACCAAGCGCCTACTGTGGGCTGGGTGCCCTGCATGCAGCCCCTGACACAGCCCCCAGGAATGGGGCAAGGAGATGGCACTGGGAGTCACCCTGGAGCTGGGCCGCTGCCCCACCTGGGGCGGGAGCAGGGGAGCCAGGCTGTCCACAGGCAGGTCATGCCTGGCCCGGAAGGAGAGTCCTTGTGGCCTCTCAGAGCCTGGCTTCTCTGGGGAGCACGTGGGGTGAGAAGGCGGACTGTGCAGATCCCTAGGGTGGGTGCTGGAGCTGAAAGATGGGGTTCACATGGTGGCCCCACCACCCACTGCCCTGGGATGAAGGTCAGGTCCACACCACCCTGCCCTCACGCCCTCCACCTGAGGATGAGGGCGCTTCTTCCCAAGTCTGCAGCCTGTGATGGCAAGCAGCAAGAAACGACGGGGAGACCACAGGTGTGGGGTCTGTCCATGCTAGAAAATCCCACTGTGTGTGTGTGTGTTTGTGTGTGTTTTGGCACACTGCCCAGCGTGTGGGCTGTTAGTTCCTGGACCAGGGATATAACCCGAGCCAAAGCAGTGAAAGCGTCGAGTCCTAACCACCGGCCCGCCAGGGAATTCCTCCAGAGAACCTGCTTTGATGTGCAGCAAGTTGGGCGTCCAGGTGCTGGGTTCTGTGGACGGCCACTTGAAAGTTGTCAGCTGTCCTGTGCCTGTGCTGGGAACTGACCAGCAGGGGGCGCCAGAAGCAAATGAATGGCAGGCAGAGAAGGGGGCCCAAGTCCCACAAGAAGGCAAGGTTCATTCACCTTCCAGGCCCCCAAGCCATCTCTGCCCTCACAGAGCACCCCCTCCCAAGCGTCTCACCGCCCCTGGAGCCCAGAGAGGCCTCAAGGGCACACAGAAGTCAGGCCTCCTGTTCTCAGACCTGCCTTGCAGCTGGGACACGCAGGTGGGTGGGGCAGGAGGGGCCGGCTCGACCTGAATCACGTGGCCTGTCGTGGGCATGGGCCCTGCTGTGCCCCTCTGCACACGCAGTGTGCAGAGGAGAGGGCTGCAGAGGAGAGGCCGGGCTGGGCTTTGCAGGGAGCCTGGTTCCAGGGGGCCAAGGGCCCTGGTTCCGAGCCCTTCCTGGGCCTGGGCTTGATGCCCTGTGCTCCCACCGGGGCCCTCTGCCCCGGTTGTCCAAGCGAGAAGACTGAGCCTGCCCTAGTGACGGAACACTTGTGCTCCCCCAGTCAGGAGGGGCTGAGTAGGTTGTTGGACCTGGCCCCCCACCCTTCAAGGCCCGTGCTCCCCCAGGGCCGGCCCTCAGGAGGCATCCTGGGCAGCAGAGTCCTGTCTTCCCCACTTCCTGTCCCCCATCCCTGCTCGGCACCGGATGCCTCAGGAACCTCGAGTCCCAGTCCACCCAGGAACCAGGTGTGGACCCACTCACAGCAGAGGAAACCAGGGCTCAGAGAGGGGTGGTCCAGACAGTCGGGAGCTGGTGAGTCTGCCCCCACCCCACCCCACAGGACAATCTGCCCCGGAGTTGAGGAGGCAAGCAGGCCTGGGCCTCCCCAGGGTCTCCGGGGTCCCCAGGGCTGGGTAGGAGCCAGAGGCATGGAGGCGGCCACACAGACATGACTTGGTTTTGAGCTGCAAATGCCTGTGTTCCAGGGCTTCGGGGTGTGCGGCAGCTGACCAGGGCCCAGGGGAGTGGGTGGGGGGCCCGCAGGACAGCCCCCCCCCCCCCCCGTGCACACTGCCCGTGAGTGGCTCTGAGGCTGCCCAGACACGGGGCCCTCACTGCCGCCACTTCAGGTGCCTTCCCTCGAGGCCCGGTGGTCGGCAGGAGCCCCATAGCCACGCCCATTTGATAACAAGGGGAGCCGGGACCAGACCCCCAATCAGATTCCAGGCACTGCCCCTGCAGCCCTCAGACAAGGCAGGCTGCCAGCACCGCTCGCCGACCTGGGCTCCAGGTCCCAGCAGTCTCAGCGGCTGAGCCCCCGGCCTGTCACACTGACGCGGAGGAACGGGGAGGCTGGAGTCGGGGGCCGGCCTGGCTGCAGGGACACAGCAGGCCCGTCCTCCTGTCCCCCCTGCTGCCCCAGCCCAGCCCCCGTGTGGAAGCTTGAGTGACGTGGAACCTGGCAGTGGGCGGGAGAGAGAGGGTGTCCAAGCCAGGCTAATCGGAGGATGCCACTTGGTTCCCATGGCAACTGCTGCAGAGCTCCGTCTTTCAGGATAGACCCAGGTTAGGCCTCAGCTGCCAAAACACCCACTATTTCAGGGCTGGTTACCTTGGTGACCCAGGTGGCGGGGACGTGGCGGGGGGAGGGGAAGGCTGGAAGGGTCATATCAGGAGAGGCCAGGCAGGGGGTTCACTGGCTCAGAGGACAGACTGCCCCCGGGGCCCAGCCCTGACCCTGCTCATATGCTGATTCCCGGTCCTGATCACACACGGCCTTGATCCTCATCACAGACTGACTTCTGATCCTCGACACAGGATCCCTGTCGCATCCCAAGCCCTGGCCGCTGATGCACGCTTGGCTAACGGCAGCTGCGGTCTTTATCATTTTTACCATGTGTCGTCACACGTGGTTGACACCTGATAAATGTTTGTCAGGCAAGCGCGTCCAAGACCAGAGAATCACCCAGGCAGGTGTCCTGGGGCCCACAGGGCTGAGCACGGAGGGGCTCAGGCCACCCTTTGCTGGGTGGCCACGGGGCTCTTGGGCTGGGTGGGCTTTGAGGGGGCAGCAGAAGAGTGGGCAAGGTTGGGGGGTGGGCTGCCCCTCCAGGCCGGGAAAGAAGCCGCCATTCTTCCCAGGCTCAATGCCCCCTCTGTCTGGAAGCCTCATTTCCATCTCATTAAGGGATGAATAGAGCCAATTAATGGCCGCCAGGCAGCCTTGGCCACCCAGGAGAGCGGACACACGAGGGGGCTCCAGGCCTCCTTCCCACCCCAGCGCCCCAGTCTGGAGGCTGTGGTCACCCCGGGCCCGGGGTCCCTGCGCCCCAGTGGGCTGGGGCGGGGCGCTCAGGGAGGCCCTATTCCTGCTGGGCCTCCCTGCCTTCCGGGTCCCCTTTGGAGGAGGCAGTCTGCACTTCCTGTCTCGTCCAGCAGAGGTCTCCCCAGTCCAGCAGGTCAGGCAGCGCCGCCTGTTCCCGCCCCGCCCCTGACCGTCAGGCTGGGGTCCCTACGCAACCACAGCGCAGTCCAGCCCCTGTGAGGACCGAGCCCGAGTCAAGGCCTGTCCTTCCGCACGCAGGTTCCTCCTCTGAGCCCCTTGCATGGATGTGCAAATGAAGGCCCAGGGGATGGGCAGCTCCGCCCCCACCAAAACCACAACCCCGCTCTGGTTCCACAAGTCCAGACACGGTGCATCCTCCACCAAGGCCTGCAGCTTCCACTGTCAGGGCCCAAGAGGCCAGCAAGCCGCCCAGCTGCAGGAGGCGCTGTGGGATCTCAGGACGGGGCTGAGAACCGCGGCCACTGCCCACAGGCCACTTGCCAGAGGAGGAAGACAAGGAGAGTTCCTCCATGCACGACAGAGGTGCCAGACCCTACAGGCAGGTACTGTCCCGTCCCCATTTCACAGAAGGAAACTGAGACTCGGCAAGTCAGTGATGGACCCCGTCTGCAGGGTTAGTCCAGCAGGCGCCCCCTGTCCTAAGAAACGTGCCTGTTACAAGCCCAGGTGAAGGCCCGGGTCCTGCCTGGCTTTGCGCTTCAATGCTGGATGACCTGGGCAGGTCTCTTCCCCTCCTGGAGCCTCGGCTATACGACTCACAGCCCTTCCCCGCTCTGGAGGGCAGCGAGACCCCCGCAGGGTCCCAGCCGCAGGGTGGTTTGGGAACCGCGCTCTGGGCGGCCCCGTGTGCTCCTCTGGTCTCCACGGGGTCACGTCCTCCCACGTCCGCCTACAACGCCTGGAGCTGGAAACTTGTTTTCCAGGTTTTCTAAGTTGGCCCTTGCGCAAAAGAACTGCTCACCGGGCTGGGATGAAAACCGTCCTGGCGGGGAGGCCCTAACCTTCCTGCTCCTGTCCCCCTGTCCCCCCAACACATTCCTGATTACCCCTAAACTCCAGAGACACCCCCCTCCCCCTGGAGCACCTCCTCCCATCAGAGCCCTGCCTCTCTCCACACACTGCAGCCTCTAGAGAGGGTAGCTCTGTGGCATTTAGGGTGGGAATTACTTCAAAGCCCATGGGATGTCAGGGCAGGGGCGCCCCAGCTGAGAATGGACAGGCCTGGAGGCACTGGGCACTCAGCCCGGGGTAGGTCATGGCCCCTAGGCCCAGCATCCCCACCTTGCACGCACCGGGGATGTCACACACTCAGGCTCCAGCCCAGCCCCACCCCACCCATGCAGGCACTTGGGGGAGGCACACATGTGCACATGCAGGGTCATGAACACACAGGGGCACACACATATGCAGAGGGACACGCATGCACACACACGAGAACACACGCATAGGGACCCACACATATGCACAGGGACACACACACACACGCACACACTGGCCCCCAGCCCCCAGGATGCCGCTTTTTCATTATCTTACATGTCGCTTCTGCAATAAAATTCTTTAATTAAAACATGAATATTTAAAGCAACCCTTGAGAGAAATGGCCCCATCTCACCAGAGGCAGAAAAACGCTGAGAGACTCTGGAGGGGCCGGGAGCGGGCGGGCTGTGCAGAGGGGCGGCCGGCCGGGGGCAGGGAGCGGTGCTCTGGCCCGAGGAAGGCTGGCCAGTTGGACGCGTGGTGTGGCCATGCGGCATTTGGACAGGCTGGGCGGGGACAGGGCTGAAAGTGGGCCACAGGCTGGCCTGGGCCGCCTGCTCGCTCTGGGCGTTGCATGGCCCCCTCGAGCCGGGACGCAGGACACGCCTGACCCAGCCTCCCCTGCTCGGTGTGGGGCCGCGGCTCCGGGGCACAGGCTCCACAGCACGATATGGGGTCCAGCTCAGCTGTGTGTCTTCTGAATGACTGCTAGACCTCACTGGTCCGTGGGCCACCTCACCCCTACACACACACACACACACACACAGACCCTCTCAGCTGCGCTTTTGCAGAATCCCTGGGTGGCCAAGAGCTGCTCTGCTCCGGGTCTCCCCGTTTCAAACTGTGTGAGCTTGCCCACGGCCTGGACACCTCTGTGCCTCCGTCCACTCAGCACGCATTCATCAAAGGCCTGCTGCCACCAGGGGCTGGGCCATCACGGGGCTTCATCAGCGAGCAGGGCCAACTCCCCTGCCCCGTGCTGGGGGCATCCTGGCAGGGACAGAGTAAGGACACGGGACATTCTCTGGTGATCATGGGCAATTCCGTGTGGGAAGAGAGGGAGAGAGAGTGAGGGGACAGTGGGCCTGGGGCTGCCGCCACGTGCCATCCGGGCAGGCCCTGAGGGAGGGGAACGTGGGGAGAGTGTTCCAGGCCAGGGAGCACCCCAGCCAGAGGCCCTGGGCCAGGAGGCGCGTCCTCGCTGGGAGCCACCTGGGCAGCTGGGAGGAGGGAGCTGGTTAAGGTGCTGCGGCCACTGCTGACCCCACGTTTACTCCCAAGGTCTCAGAAGCATCAGGGCCTTCTGAGTCCAGGGCATGGGCATGGGGTCCGAGCTGCCCCTGGGTGGGGGTGACCACCTCCTGTTCCCGCCGCCCTGCCCCTCAGAGTCGAGCTCCTCATTTCCCGGTGGCAGCCCCAGCCCGCATGCCCTCCAAACGGTCTTCCATGGGGCAGCCAGCCCTGCCCCAGAGCCTTGACTTGAGTTTCGTCAAGACTTGCACAGAGCCAGCCTACACACACACACACACAAGCAGTGAATTCGAGTACATACCAGTGCACACGTGTACATGCTCACACACACGCAGGCACAAACACAACGCCCACAGATACCTGATGCACTGTACACTGGCATGCACACGTATACATGCCAGCCACGCACACATGCAAACACTCACACATCCATGTGTGAACGTGTGCACACACACACACTGGAAGCGCCTGTGTCAGCACACACGTACACGTCCTACACACATGCGCACACATACACATGGATGCATGAACACACACATGTTTGCATAACACACTGAACACGTGCTTACATAACACTGCGCATATGCTCACATAACACACTACACACGTGTACACACAGATGTATGGGTGCAAGCATGTGCACACGTGTGTGCACACACACACACACCTGCCCACCTCCCTCTCAGAATCTCTGCTCGAGTCAGGAGTCCCCACATAGCCCTCCTCCCCCTCTAATCTGTCTCTGCCTGCCAAGCCCTCCAGATCCCCTACCTAATAATAAACATAGATATTGACATTTCATCACTGATGTTGCTTTTGCTTAGAAACACTTTCACCCCAGTTCTCATTCTTCATGACAACCAAGGAAAGATGTTTTACTCTCTCCATTTTAAAGACACGGAGCCTGAGGGGGGATTGGCCCAGGGACACAGCAAGTGCAGGCCAGGCTGGGATTACCTTGAACCTGACCCTGTGGTCCCTCTCAAATGACATTCCCGCTGGATGGCCTACGGGCCTCTCATAGTCGGGTCCCACTCTGAACTCCGGATCTTCCTCCCCGCCACTTCCCCACCTCAGCTGAGGCCCTCACGCCCGGCCAGACACCTGGGCATGGCCCAGCGATCAATCTCCTTCCTCCACGCCCACATCCTTGGCATCAGCAAGTCCATCAGCTGCACACCCCATCCCCCAGATGCTCCCCCTTCCTCGTGGCCAGGCCAGCATCAGCTCCCTCCCGGATTTTTGCTCTGAGCCAGTCGCCACACTGACAGCCCCAGCCCTGTGCCCCTTCTGCTTAAAGCCCTCATGGCCCTTCAGTTCTCAAGAGAAGAGGCAAACCCCGTCCAGGGTACCTGGCCACCTCTGCACCCAAATGCACACCTGGGCCTGCTCCCTCCAGCACCAACGTTGAGCCCTGCAAGCTCGCAGCTCATCACAGCAGCCCTGCCTCCTTGACCTTGTCCCGCAAGCTCCGTGCTGCTCCAGATAGACCAGGTTATCTCCCTGGCACGGTCACTGCCCCAGGACGCTGGCAGAGGCCAGCTCTTGTGCTGTGGCCTCCAGTGTGGGCTAAGCTCCAGGGCCATCAGGCCTGAGGGGACTGGACAGTCCCTCAAAGCAGTCAACACCTTGCCTGTGAGGACACTGAGGTTCAGGGGGCAGGTAACCACTGGGGAGCGGCCGAGTGATGCGTGCGGCCAGGCCACCACCCTGCCTGGCCTTCCTGCACCCACCGGCCTCCCAAACCAGCCGCCGCGCCCTCTCTGCTCCGTTCTCCTCCTCCCCACCCAGAGGACCACTCCCACCACATGCTGCGGGGGCTGCCCGTGCCAAGGTCACAGCGCCGAAGATCCAGCCCGAAGATCAGCCCTGCACCCCAAAGCTGGGGACCCTGACCCAACTGATGGAAGGTGGGGTTTACCCGACAGCTTCCTGGACGCCGCGCCCCCACCCCTGGGGGCTCTGCCTGCCCCCTCACTCTCGTCCTCTCCAGCTACGCTCCCTGCTTCACGGAGCTTTCTACTCTGGGCTCCACGGCCCAGGGGCCATGAATGGGGCCGTGTTCCAGGAGAGCGGGTGCCCTTTGAAACCCCCATGGAGCTGCTCTTACACCTTGAAAGACGTTTTTCTGAGGAGTCCATCAGTCTCACTGGCTTGGGAGAGGCCAAGAGCCCTGGACACGCCACCTGGCCCCACGGGGACCCGCCCACACACACGCCCAGCCCAGCCTGGCTCCCGAGTGCCTGGCACACTGTCTGGTGTCTCCACCGGCACAGATGGTGACGAGCTGTCCCCTGTCACCCTTGCCCTGGGGTCCCATGGGGGGCAACCCTCCATGCGTATGCAGGGTCTCCCTCCTGCCCCGCCCCCGTGGAGTTCCGCTCCGCATCCCGCCCCCTGATGGTACCACCCCCGCCCTGTGCTGCTGCCTGTCTCACCAAGGACTCCGAGAGCGTGCTAAGAAGGTGGGACCGGTCGAGCACACGCCCACCCTCACCTCTGCCCTGCCCTGACTCTGACCCCCACAGGGCTCACCTGCACCTCTCCCAGAATTCCAAACACTGTCCCCCAGGACCAAGTGACCCCTGACTTCCAGGTGACTGGCAGCACCCCCCACGGCCCCGCCCCCTGCACTGTCTCATGTGTGGACACCTTGCTGCTCACTCACCTGGAGCGCCGGCCCCACCCCGGTCCTGGGTCAGGCTGGTGAGGCAGTTCTCAGGGCCACCAGCCACGCCGTCCCTCAGGCAGACGTCCCCACGGGGGGCCAGGGAGCCGGAGGCAGGGTCGCCGGTGTCCCCGCCCAGGCAGGCGCAGGGGGTCTGCATGATGCCGCACGGGTGTGAGCTGCGGCTGCCGGCCAGACAGGCATCCAGCCAGCGGCATAGCATCTGGCAGGCGGCCCGGCTGGGGTTGCGGTTGCCCACCACCAGATACTCCACGGAGAAGTCGTCACTGGGCCCGGAAGACCCGTCCCGGGGCCCCAGGGTGTTGTCCTGGGGCGGCCGCAGGCGCTGCATCTGCAGAAACTGCTTGCTGGCCTGCAGGAAGGCCAGGGGTGCCGAGGGGTCGCAGAGCCGCAGCACCTCGTCGAAGCTCTCCACGCCCAGGTAGGTGCGTGTGGACTCCAGGAAGGAGTCGAACTGGTAGGTGCGGACGCGGGCAGGGCCGCTGCAGGCGGGCGCCTTGGCTACCTTCATGTAGAGTGTATAGCGGCGCGGGTCCGGGTTGCGCAGGGTCCAGGAGCAGCGCGAGGCGTTGGCCGGGAACACCGCGGCCGCCGAGAAGTAGCCGAAGAACTTGCCCTGCACCAGCGTGGCACAGGGCTCGGCCCCAGGCCCAGCGGCCGTGCCCGCGGCTGTGCCCACCTGGCGCCCCAGCAGCAGCAGCAGCAGTGGCCCAAGAATCCAGAGGGCACCCGGGGCGGCGGCCTGGCCCCTCATCCTAGCTCGCGGGGCCGCCGGGGTTCCGCGGGCTGGGCAGGCAGGCGCGGGCCAGGCCTGGACATGCCAGGGTCCGGCGGCGAGCGGGGCTGGGCCGGGCTGGGGGGCCGGGGCTCTGGGTGGGGGGGCAGAGGCGGCTTCCGGGCACCGGGGGAGCAGTGGCGGCTCCTATGGTCCAGCAGCCTGGCACCTGCCTGTGGCCTCAAGCAGCAGCTGGAAGAGAAACAGCAGAGGGCAGGGTTGAGCCCCTGGGGAGGGCACACTGAGGGCAGTGCCAACCCTGGGCTCCGAGCCTCCAGTGCTCAGGCACCTGCTCTGCCCACCTGCCGTGTGTCCACCTACAGGGGCAGAGAGCCAGGGGCGGTTACTTCCTCCCCAAGCAAGCCTGGGTGGGCAGCGGCGGACAGCCCCAGCCAGGACTGCCGGCCCAGGGGCCTTGGCTGTGCCCGTCTGGCTGGGCAGCCTGGAGAGGCTCCGGGCCTGCCCACTGGCCCCATCACAGCCACGGGGGCCTCAGAGCCTCTCAGACCACATCCCTCCCCCGCACCTTTCAGGGAGGGATCCGCAAACAACCCAGCCAGAGGAGAAGCAGGGCGGAGGGCAGAGGACAGAGGTCGCCCCCAGCCTCCTGCAGCCCTGTCTCTCTGAGCCTTGCCTGGGCGGGTGCGGAGTCCCCACATCTGCAGGAGTGACTGGCTCTGTGGTGGACGAGGGTGGGGTCAGACCTGGTCTAGATTCGACCAGCATCCACCCGCCCTGTGCCTGGCACATACCGCCCAGCCTCTCGTCTGTGTTCCTGCCAGGGAGCCGCCCTCTCCCGCTCCCTGGAGTCACCTGCAGCCCCCAGGGACCAGGCCTTGGCCTGTGCTGATCCCTGCCTGCCCCCAGTCAGGCGGGCGCTGCCCTCCTCCATGTCACATGAGGAAACGGAGGCTCAGATGGGGTCACAGTGTGGGGGCAGCGGTACCCACACTTGAACCCCCAGGCTGCCCCCAAACTCCTGGCCCTGGGGTCCCCTGCCCTGTGGAGGAGTGGGCCTGGCCGTGTGCCACCCATTCACCCCTGGGGGGTGGGGGTGGGACACCGCAGGTCAGCAGGGATGCAGCGGAGCCTCGGCTCAGAGGCCAGCACCGCCGCTCCTGACCGCCTGCACCTGGACCCTGGAAAGCTCCTTTTGCCTGCAAACCTCACCTCCCCAAAGCCCCTGCTGGGGGTCGCCCACCATGGCAGCTGGGCAGGTGGGTGCGGGAGGAGCCGCAGCAGACACTCGAGCCCCCTGCCCCGGGGCGGCCCTCCGCTCTGCTGACTACGTGTATGCCGGCTGCCTGTCCACAGGGACGCGCCGCTTCATGCTGCTGGGCTTAGCTGGCCGGCTGCACAAGGTCGGCCACCGCTCGCAGTCTGCTCCTGGTGTCCTTTCCTACAGGCCGTGCAGGCAGGGCAGGGTGGCCGGGCGTGGGCCGCCCCCTCAGGCTGTGTGGATGCAGCCAGGCCCCTAACCTCCTGTCCTCAGTTTCCCCATCTGTAGAGTGGGGGTGCAGCCTCACTCTCCCAGCATAAAGGAAGCACTGGACCTGCAGATTTACCCAGAGATGGGACAGGAGGGGACCTCAGTCGGGAGGGAAGGGAGGGGCTCCAAATCACCAGGGATGGCCCTTGGGGGCTCTTTAGTGGCAAACACTGGGGAGGGAACTTGCAAACTCTTTGTGCCAGCCCTCTGGGCAGAACTGGGCAGAACCTGCCCTTGGCCCCTGCCTCTAGGAAGCCCCTGGTCCTGCCACACCTCCAGGCCATCCTGGGCCAGCCTTGGGCGCAGCACCGCAGAGCCCCGTAGCCCATGTTCAGGGCTTGAGGCTGGGACCAGGGTGCTAGGGCCAATCCCAGAGCGGGGAGGTTGCATGCAGGGTGGCTGTGGGATTTGAGACCTCACCTGGGCCCCTGCTCCAGCGGCAGCACCCCCTCCCCTGGTCCTCGGCTGGGAACTAACGCAGTCGCCAGCCCCCCAGCTGGGGTCCCAGCCCTGGGACAGACCCACTCTGATGCCCGGGAGAGTCCCTGGTGGATGTCGGCAGAGCCCCGCGGAGACCATCATCACAGTCTGGTGCCTCCTCCAACAGCTCCCCGATCCCACCACTCAACAGCCAGCTCAGCCTGTCCCATCCCCCTGGACCCAGGGTCGAGGCCACCCCAAAACCGCACGCCTGTCCTTAGAGGGGCCTGCCTGGGCCCTGCCCGCCCTCCCCCTGCCCATCCCTGCTCCTGGTAGCCCACTCCCAGCCCTCCCGTCTGGAAAGTGGAAGCAGCCTGGAGCAGACGCTCGGCCTGCAGCTCTGGGGGTGAGGGGCTGGCAGGCACGGCTGCCTGCCCCTCCTCGTGGTCTCACAGGCCTGTACGGGGCGTCAGCCTGGCCCTGCATGGCGGGATGCAAGGGAGGACCTCCTCTGCCAGATTCTCTGTGTCCACAACCTGGAGGACCTCTGCAGGGGGGCGTGTGGGGGCCACAGAGGAGCCACCTAGGTGAGGGCCTGCGGGTGCTGGATGCCCGAGCCAGGGTTGGGCCTGGGTCTGCGGAACAAAGCCCCTGCCCCCTGAGAAGCCAGGCACTACCCCGGGTCAGGCAGACCGCCCTAACCCTGCCTGTCCAGGGGCCAGTGGGAGCCGGCTGGCCCTCATCCCAGACTGGCTCACTCAGCTCCAGTCAGCATGTCCAGGGAGCGAGGCCACGCCTGTACCCTGTACAGTGGGCAAGAGGAGCAGTGAGGGTCACAAACAGGGCAGGGCCCTGTTCAGAACTGCCCCCTAGAAGCGTGGCAACATGAGAAGCTGGCCCGAGGGCAGGAAGCAAGTGGGGCAGGTGCTGGGGCCACAGGAGGGAGCGGCCCGGGCCCAGGGGGTGGGAGAGGAGGGCGCCTTCTGGCCTGCACCCTGGGGGCATGGGAAGTGCCAAAGGGGGCAGGTCAGGGCACCCCCAAGACTGAGGCTCCGGTGTGAGTCTTCAAGAGGCTCCTGGGGGCTGGAAGATGGCCTGGTAGAGCCCCCCGTGGGGTTTTCACACGGATCCGCAGCAGGGGTTGCCGGGGCCACTAGAGGGCCAGGCGTTCTCCAGAACTCCAGGGTCCATGCCCTGGGCCTTGGGGATGGCTCTGCTGGCCAGAAGGTGGTCCCAGCTCTGAGCCCGAGCCTCAGAGTGGCCTGGTCTGGCCTCTTTTGGCTGAACTCAGGGCAGAGCTGGGCAGGAGGCCCAGGCCGCCAGCATGGATGGGCCCTGAGCCCACCAGCGGCCACTCACCTACCTGCCCAGACCCCACCCTCTGCCCCGCCCCCGACAGGCCCACATGTCCTTTCCAATAGTGGGGTCCCCCGGCCCCTGTTAACTGCCTGCCTGGGATGCTCTAACAAGGCCTTGGATAAACGGCTCAGAGGCCGCTCGGGCCAGGGCACACCAGTGTCAGGGTGGAGGCCGACCAGTCAAACCCATCCCAGGCTGGAAGATCACAGCCGAGAGGGGGTGGGGCCCACGAGGGAGCCCCTGACCCCCCCGGCACTCTGGGGTAGTGTCTCCAAGGGGCAATGCCAGGCAGGGTCCTGGGATCAACGGGGGCAGCCCCTGATCTTCACTGGGGAGTTCCTCTGATGGGGTGGGGGCGCAGGCACAAAGAGATGGGAAGAGATGGGCGGGGGGCGGTCAGAGGACAGACAGGGCCTCAGAGATGACCAGACCCCCAGCTTGAGCAAGCGGGCGATGGGCGGTGGGGACCCTCACTGAGCTGGGGGAACAGATGCGTGCGAGTATCTGTGTGTGCATGTGTGTGTTCTGTGTGCACACACGTGTGTCTGCAAGGCGTCTGCACACATGGGCACCTGTAGCACGCTTGCAGGAGACTGACGGCAGGAGGAGGGCTCAGTGTGTGCTCTGGGATGTGCGTGGCAGTGACCGGGGAGGGGCCAGCCTAGAGGGGGAGCCCTGGGGCGCCCAGGGCAGGGCCTCGGAGGAAGGCTGGGCCAGGGAGCGTGACTCCACACCCCTCCCTGCAGGTAACTGCGCGGTAGCTCATCTGAGCGGGGCTCGTGCTCCCTGCCCTCAGCCACACCCAGAGACCGGGCCTCCCCTGGGGGGTCAGACTCCACAAGCCCACGGACCAAAGGTGAGGGCGGAAGCGGCTCCTGTCCTCCGGGCCGGGCTCCAGAGTGGTCACTGGTTCCTCTTCTCAGAAGTCCTCACAGGTGGCTGTTTGCCCGAGGCTGCGGGCCTCTGTCTGGCCTGTGGTTCACGTATCCTGACCGGGGTCACTGCGGCGTCCAGCGTGCACTGCCCATCCTGGGTTCCAGTGATCGATGGGCACCCAAGCCCCCTCAGATCCCCGCCTCCCCAGCCTGCCTGCAGCCAGGAAGCCAGCTGAGTGCTGGGCCCCAGAGCTTTGGCCAGCCTCTGCCCCAAGCCTACCGCACGGCCTCTCGGAGCCTGTGGGGCAGCCTCTGGTGAGGGATGGGGGACCCCAGACAGCCAGCCATGTCAGATGAGGAAGGAGAAGCTGGAGTCACGGTGATGAGAGAGGGCTGGCTGCACCCAGGCCGGGTCTCGGGTCTCAGGGGACCCCCGCGAGGCAGGAACAGTGTCAGCCCCACGTCACAGCTGGGGGGGGTCACCAATTCGCTGAGGGGTGCCCCACCCACCTCCCACCATGTCTCAGATGCATCCGCGCCCAGGTGGTCTGTCCAGCCCCCGCCCACAATCAGAAGCTGGGGTGCCCCAGGTTCCCTGTCCACAGGGGCATCGGCTCGGTGCCAGCCCGCCAGGCTCCGGGATTCTCCAGCCGCACCTCCATCCCTGGGCCCCCCGCTCCCCTCCCAGCCCAACACACAGGCCCGACCCGGCCCTGCCGTCCCCTCCCCACCCACCCCAGGCCACCAATGGCATCCCCAGACACCAGCCACAAAAGGCGCTCTGTTGTCCCGGCCGGCCCCCTGAACAGTGCCCGCCTGTGTCCTGCCCTGGGGAG